CTGCTGAACTAAAGTATCATAGAGAACAATCCTCTTGTTCTTGAAGAAACCATACATGTAGGCCTGCAAAAAAAGGTTGGAAGAGAAATGATCGATGTATACATACTATATGAAGGGATAAACAGACAGAACCCAGCCAAACAATATAGAGGACAAACAGTAACTGTAACATAGCCGATAAATGAAGGCGTAAAGAGATCTAAGGTGTCAATTCCTCACATTGCTATGGCTTGATCTCGTAGACCCGTCGACAACAAACAACTTCTTCAGAGGAAATTTCAGAGAAGCAGCAAGTTTCTCGATTTTCTCTCGGAGGCCTCCTTCTGGAAGCTATTCAACACAAAGAGCGAGAAGCAAATAAGATGCCTAACCAAACATAAAACTACAGAACTGAATTGCAGATTACATTAAGACAGAAACACTCACAGGAGTGAATTTATTGAAAAGCGGAGCTATCAGGATAGGATATATAGTCATCATCACAAGAGACAGGACAAACATGAAAGCCCATAGATAGATAGCTAAGTAAGGACCCCCTTTCTGAAAAAAAAGGATTGAAAGTTAAGGTTTACAGAGGAGCAAATTCAATAAGTATAATTAGATTCAACATTACTTCGATAGCTGTTCACTAGCAAAGGACAATTGATGATATATGTTAAAAAGGCAGAGACATAAGGAGAATCCAGAGTCCACAAACCTGTACTATGACAATAATTGCAGCAACAATAGGTGGACCTAGTACGACAGAAAGAAGTGTTCCCTTGATCATGTCCCTGATGAATAGCCATATTGTTTGCTGTAAACAGAATTTGAAAGCAAATTAAGTTCTACAAGGCACCAACAGGGCGGGATTAGGAAAGAATGAAAAAAGAAAGTTTTACAACAGATGCGATCTGGAGTGCAACAAGTAGAAAAGGTTGTGCTGGAAACATGGTGTACCTTGTTGAAACCATGTCGGGCCTCGATCACAAAAGTCGAATACAAAGAAAATGGCAAATCAGTAATCTGCATCAGGATTAATAAAAAAACCGACATTAACACCCTCATCAAGTATATCTGAACTAAAAAATGGATCAACTAAAATACGAAGAAATGGCCATTTTCGTCTAAACGCAAAAGAATAAATTTGAAAACCTGTGACCATATCATAACACCCGCCAAAAATGAAAGAGTG